AATTTGTGAGTTAGTTTCTCGAGATCAAAGTTAGATTTATTTTTCCTTTTATTTTTTATTATGTTGAAAACGATCACTATGAGTTTTGTTAAAATTGGCACCACAATGTATTCTTTTGGGTTGCCTATATTTTGTTGGAGTTTTTATTTTTGTTGGTTTTGTTGTATATATTTTCAATATACAGGCAAGCTAAAGATGTTGTTAAAGCAATTAAGAAACGATTGGGGAGCAAAAACCCAGATGCTCAATTATATGCTGTATTGGTCAGTACATGCTATTTTTGCTTAATAACTGACCTTATGTTGTCCTATATCTTGTAAATGCATTTTCTAACACCCACTTTTGCAGTTGGAGATGTTGATGAACAATACAGGTGAAAATGTTCATAAGCTGGTGATTGATAATGGCATTCTCCCAATTCTTGTTAAGATAGTCAAGAAAAAGGTGTAAATTTGTTTCATTTCTACATCTGTTTGCTTTTCATTGATTTTTCAAAAAAAAAAACTGATTGTTTTTTTTCCACCTTTTGTTGCAGTTGGACTTGCCAGTACGAGAGAGAATATTTTTCCTTTTAGATGCTACACAAACTTCTCTTGGTGGCGCTTCTGGAAAGTGCCCTCAATACTATTCAGCATACTATGATTTGGTGGTAGGTACAGACATGAAACATGTGTAATCTCCATACTTTGTACATTTTGGTGGATTAGAGAAAAAAGTGTCCTCTGGGAACCTTGTGCTATGTTTTTGACTTGCACACAATTTAAAAGCTTTTTTCTTGATATAACATGTAGGATATGAAGGGGGGTTTTAATGAGGCCTATCTTCTATAAAAAAAAAAGCTTTTTTCTTCATTCTGCCTAGTACTGATGTCAGTCAAAGCCATTAGTGGGTTTGGTTTAATCATATGGTTGCTGCATTTTATACGGATACTGTTCAAAATTTTTTGAGTGAAAAAAATCTGTACCCCAAGTGTACACTCTTTGTGAGGCTATAGTAGTTTAATAGTATGGGTATGTTGTTGCAAGTACTGTTGTTCGGAGTTTTGTAATTTCTTCTTGGTTGTGGTGGAATAGTGAGTGAGATGGCCTTCACTATGCTTTGTCTGTAAATTCTTTTGGCGAAGTTTAACTAATTTTCTCATTTTTTCACAAAGAATTTTCTTCTCCCAGGCCTTCTCCTCAACCTACATTATAGATAAACTTCCTCTAAACCTCTATATGTTTTTTTTTCTTTCAAAATGCTCTAAAAAGTGTAGCTCTTTCTCTATCTTTGACTGTGTTCTTTTTCTTTGATGGCAAGTTCTAAACTGTGTTATTTCCCTGATTCCTTTAAAGTTTAAATCACAAAATAATCCAAAATTCTGTTTTACGTTACCTGATTTGAAAACCTTGTGTAAAATTTGTTGAACCCAATCTTCAATCAATAATTACTATGAGAAATCTAGAGGAGTCCATTCTGTTAGCATTTTGTGGTTAGGTTGACTGGTTGTACTGTGAAATCTTAATGCCTAGGAGTTATTGAAGTTAGTGAAAATAATAAGAGCATGCATGTTGTAGAGTTGAAGCAAGTATGCAAGTAATCATCCTAGAATCATCATTAATATCTACTATCAGAAGACATTGATTACTTTTGTCAGCGTATCACTGAATTAGCAGCAGATTGAGTTTTCTAGGGAATCAAGCAAGTGATTGTGAGGCACATAATTCAGTCATTGTGAGCTCGTTCATACCTTCCTGAGATGCTTGTACTGAAATGCAGCTTGAAGAAAAAGTGATATAGAAGTGTATGTCTCCTTTGATGTCCATTTCATGTTTTTAAAGACATTGGTTTCATTCATGGGCTATCTTGTGACAGTTTCAATTTCTTTTTATAGTTATACTGTAAATAACTAGATATGGCATATTTTGTTCTTAGCTTTCTCAAAGTACAGTTATGAGAAAGATGAACAGCTTGGTGAATCTGAATTCCCCCCACGATTTCGGTATTTTCCTAAAGCTTTTCATTATTGAAAAGTTTTCCTCTATGGTCATTAGGTGTTCCATCAAATAGCAATTACGATCCAATACTAATATTTTTAACATGTTTTCGTGAATGTAATTTTGAACTCCTGCATAAGTAGTTTTTACTTGTTTCCTTCTTCACAACGTACAATCCATGTTTATATTTGTTTAATCCTTTCAGAGTAGTGGAGTAGAATTTCCTCAAAGGCCTCTACTACATCAAATCTACCTGCTTCACTACCAACTAAACCTAATACGCTTAATGGGGAACTCGCATCCGCCAGACAGGAGGCAGCTGCAAAGCAAGCAGAGCCTCAGATTGTTCCGGAGTCCAGGTAACTTTTGTATCTTTTGGCAAATTTGCACTAGATGTGAATTTTTTTAGCTATCCATTGTGCCAAAGGTTAAAAAAAAGAAAGAAAAAATCTACCTTACTAAAAAAAGAACTCACTAGAATATAAACAGCATATGAATCCATTTGAGCTTCTTTCTTGTCTAAAATGCTTTCTTCATTGTTGGGGCAGTTGGGATATGTTTGTTTGTTCAGGCTATATCTGTATTAGTTTGTATTAAGATTTAATTTTTATGCTTCCTAATTGCTAAATAAATTGCTAATGCATTGTAACATTAGAGATTTATTTTTCCGGGAAACAAAATTCCTCAAATATATTTTTCTCGTCACAGTATTATTCAGAAGGCCAGCAATGCTTTAGAGGTTTTGAAGGAAGTCCTTGATGCAATTGACACTCAAAATCCTGAGGTATAGGTGATATTTCCTCTCTTTATGATTGATGTATTTTATTATCCTCAGATGCATGTATGAAATTTTGAGTTGGGATGTCCTTTTAACTGCCAAGATATGTTTTCTTTTAGGGTGCAAAGGATGAATTTACACTTGATCTTGTGGAACAGTGTTCATTTCAGAAGCAGCGGGTGATGCATCTTGTGATGAGTTCTCGGTAAGGTTGTGTGTGATTATGGGCACGGTTTACTTTGAATGTGAAAGAAACTACTTACAGAGTAGAAATTATATGAGTTATAATCGAGAAGGTGGACTTGGAGATTATTTGTTTATTGTCTTCAAAACACTAGGATGCGTGTGGCAAATTCTTTACATTATTATTAATTTCTAATGCAAAAATGCATATAGAAGTTCATTTCTTTGGAATTTCAACTTTGTTGAATGCTGTCTTTTTATATTCAGGGATGAGAAGGCCGTTTCTCAAGCAATTGAATTGAATGAGCAGCTCCAGAAAGTTCTTATCAGACATAATGCTCTTCTATCTGGGAAGACTACTGTTTCGAGTAGGCCAACATCAACAGAAATACCGAATCATTTTGACCATGAAGAAGAGGAAGAAGAGGAGCCAGAACAACTTTTTAGAAGGTTTGTCTTGTCTTTCCAAGATTCAAACCTTCCTAGAAAATTAATAAACCTCTCCCGTTTCATTGTATTTGTTATCTTTTTGAGATGATGGTGTTAGGTTGGCTAATTAATTCTCCCAAAAGCTTTATCTAATAAGAACAAACCCAACTATTATATTTAGCCATGTTGGAATTAAGTAGGTTTGTCTTTTGACTCGCCCAAAAGGATATCGCAAAATGTTCTAAGATTTTTTGTCACATCAGACGTGTATAACATCACATTTAGGACCTTCTCGTCTCAATGCGATATGCCTTCCTTTTTATGAGTCAAACAGCATAGTATTTATGTTCACCATGTCAGCTTGCGTGCAAGCAAGATAAATGCTTAATGTTTTGCACGTGGACCAGTGTAAAACGGAGTGCATGTTAAAGAAGGATTAGAGAAGCAATAAAACACAATAGGGAAGAAGACAACAGGTTCAGGATCTGAACTTGAGAGTTGCACCGTGTTATTTTGGGATTTGGGTGATCGAGTCTCCCAAAAGCTGACCTATTGATTCTAGATCTAACAAATGTAACACTTCTGTATAGAGTGATAAAGTTTTCGTACTCTATTTATTCTTCTGTATAGTTTGTTGTCGATTGTATACATTGACAAAATTCTTTCATCCCAACTGTGAAACTGTATAGGATGCAAAAAGGGAAAGCATGTGCAAGACCAGAAGACGAAGAGTACTCCAGAGAGAAGCCACACTTGGGTTTGTTTGGATCGAACATTCTGGGAGAGGAAGAACGCCTAAACCGTCCACTTTTTCCACCACTGCCGTCAGAACCATCATATGAAAACAGTGCAGATCCTTCAACTGTTGCAATTCCTCCCCCTCCTGCAAAACATGTTGAGAGGGAAAAATACTTAAAGGAGAAAAAGGTTGATGGCTCTGCTGTGGCTGGTCATATGAGAGGTTTGTCACTACACAGCCGTAATGTTAGCAGTTCTCGTAGCGGGAGCTTGGATTTCAGTGACTGACCGTAGGTTTGTGTTTCCCTACGACTTATGTTTGTGGATATATTGGTTTCTTCTTACGAATGAAGATGGATTTTCAGCTCTAGTGCTGTCAGGTGTTGGTTGAAAGAGCGACTGAACCTCGAGATATTTTATCGTTTTAACATGTAAAATGTCATTCCAGTCAGAGCCTTATTTGGTGTTCTATGTTTTGCCCGACTTGGAGGGTGGCCGGACAGTATTGTTACTTTCATCAAGTTGTGGCGTCGAGTTCTTCCCTATCCTTTTGTTTTTAGGAGTGAGCTTGTAAAGAGGATTACTTCCCAAATAATTTTAGTAAATTTCTCTTTGATGGCATGGCTATTGTGTTAAGACTCTTCAGTAATGAGCAGTTATGGTACGAGACCATATTATTTTTTTAAGGTTGCAACCAAGCTTATTTCTTTTGCTGCAGTTAAAAGAAAAGGTGATATTGTAATTTTATCTTTCGAGACCATATTGTGGAAAGATAAAATCATGAATCTCGTCAAATGAATATTGAAGATACTTATGTCCAAACAGCTAATCGGAATTCAAATGAAGAGACGCTTGAAATCGAAGTCATTTCCTAATCCAGCAGAACAAAATAAATAAATTCAAAGTCTAGTTCACAGCAAGCAACATTAAAGATCCACCGGAGTTTTCAATTCCGTTTGATAGAGGATATGGCAATAGGTAACATGATAATAAGCTTACCTCAGGAAAACAAAGGACCTAAATAACGAAGACTTAGGAAGTCTCGGCGGCAGGTTGGGTCACTCCAAACTTCTGCAACAACTTACTCACAGAATCAGGTGAGCAAACCTGGTACTTCACATTCCCGGAAGGTGTAAGGAAAACCTCAGCCAGCTCAAGCTTCTCCGAAGTAAGGCTCGTGCTGTCCATAGTTTTACTCAACACCTTCAGCGCGAGTTGCACGGCTTCTTCCCTTGTGATCTCGTCCTTGTAATCTTGTTTTAGCATCGACTGAGCTGCCTGATTATTGGCGCCGATAGCTGCAGCCTTCCATCCACTGTAGTTCCCACTAGGATCACTCATGTAAAGTTGAAATCCGTAGTTTTTGTCCCATCCTGCAAAAAGAAATGAAACACCAAACGGACGAAGACCTCCAAACTGCGTATAACCCTGCTTCGTGTCACAAAGAGACTGAACCAACTGTTCAACAGGCATTGGCTCTTGGTAAGCATATGTGTATCGTTGTGCTTGCACCCTAGCAGTGTTGATGAGGATGTTTGCATCAGACATTATTCCCGCCACAGCACAAGCAACATGGTCATCAATCTTGTACATCTTTTCCGTAGATGTGGAGGTTTGAAGAAGCTTGGAAGTAACTTTCTTTTCACCAACCAAGACAACACCATCCTTTGACAATATTCCGATCGCTGAGCCAGCATTTCCAATGGCTTCCATTGCGTACTCTACTTGGTAGAGACGACCTTCAGGGGAAAAGATTGTTGTGCGGCTATCATATCTCCGAGACATTTTTTTCAATGCTGGTCTACAATTAGAATTAACTAAAAAACAGAGAAGGAGAACAAAGAGATCATTACATTGGAACAAAGGACAATAAACCAAGGTTTTCAAGTAAAAGTGAATACAGTTTTTGATTCTAACGAATCAAATCCACTTCTATCACAGCAGTTCCCTTCTTCAAAAAAGAGTGAACCAAGAAGATAAAAGACACTTGAAGCAGCAAAAACAAGCAGCACACATCCACATTCCAACTTCATGCATTAATAATTCAAGATGCATGTAATGTAAAGCAGTGAAAGGTGTAAATCATGCATAAGAAAAGCCAACATAGCATCAAAGAGAGAAGATGAGCTTGATTTTCTAAAACCGATGTATATACAATCAACTAAGAGCAGTCTTAGATTTATTAAATATTTTATCTCCTTAGTGTGAATCCGATAAGGGCGAAAGACTTTAAAGAAGTGGTCTTGAACACCACCAGTTCTGTGTAGCACCTACCCATTCCAAACAGCATACCGCAAACCCTAATTGAAATATCTTAACTGAGATTAGTCTTCCTTTGTCTCTTTCAAAATTTTCTTTTCCCCTTTTTCCTCATTCACTGATCACACTCGTCAATCATCTCAAAAATAAAGGCTACAATAAATCTGATGCAGGAACCAGAAAGCTATCAAGCATGAATTGGATCATAAATACAGATAAATTATAAAGTCCAAAGAGTGTAAAACCCTTCTCAGTGGACGGTTCCTTAAATTTCAAACAGATTCAACCATCCATCATAGACCCAAACAAGCAAACTGATAAGCAATCAAATAATTGGAAGAAAAAAAGTGAGAAAAAAGGGCACTGACCTCAGATTTCCGACTTTCCGACGGTGGTAGAGCGTGCGAGAAAGAAAGTAGAGAGTTTCTTTTTATTGGAGGTAACTTGAGCAAACGGCGAGCCATTCTGAGCTTTAGCAGAAACAGACCGGCCCATATCATGGGTCTGAATTGGATATTACCCATTATCCATATCATTTAAGCCATGCCATGCTTCAAATGTATTTAATTTTCTTTTAGGACGATAATACTTTTGTTTTATTATTCGAGTATAATGTCAACAAATATTTTTAATGTCTTTGATTATTGTATTGATACGAATTCGATTAAATTTAAGAGTTCTGTTTTACATATAAAAATCAATAAGTTTTTGTCTTGATATTCTCTAATTTCATATATAATATGGGTTATGATTCACAACATTTAGGTGGTGTTTGTTTTTGCAGAGGTAAAATACTTGCAGTCTGCGGACCACATCTGCAGTAGAAGAGGTGGACCAAAAGTCTGCAGTCTGCAAGAAGAAGACTGTTTGTTTTTTAACGTCTGCATACTGCTAAAACAAACTGAAATATAAATAAACTGATTTTTTAAACTATACTCAAATAACCATTTTTGCTATTAATTTTTTAAAAATATAAAATGTCATTAAATTTAATGAATTATTACAAAATAGTCACTATAATGTTGTAATAAATTATAAAAGTTCGATAATATAATAATTATTTTATAGTATTTAGATAAATTTATTAATAATTTTATAATCTTTTAATAAATTTAATAAGTATTTTATAATTTTTTAAATTTTATTGACGAAAATGATCATTTGTATATAACTCAACAACATCTAATATACTTTATTTAGAAAAAAGTTTACTAAGTTTAATTGTATAATATTTTTTTACTAAGTTTAATATATTTTTTCAAATAAAGTATATTAGATATCGTTGAGTTATATACAAATGATCATTTTCATCAATAAAGTTTAAAAAATTATAAAATACTTATTAAATTTATTAAAAGATTATAAAATTATTAATAAATTTATCTAAATACTATAAAATAATTATTATATTATCGAACTTTTATAATTTATTACAACATTATAGTGACTATTTTGTAATAATTCATTAAATTTAATGACATTTTATAATTTTTAAAAAATTAATAGCAAAAATGGTTCTTTGAAGAGGTTAAAAGAGCTTTGAAGACATAAGTCCACGTCTGCGCCAAGAAAAGGACGCGCAGACGTTAGAAGAGTTTCTGTCTACTAAAAAACAAACGGTTTGCGAAGCCCAATGTCTGTTCGTTGTCTGCGCGGCGCAGACATAAGAGCTTTGAAGACCTTAAACAGTGAAAACAAACATCACCTTAGTCTAAAACTTTTTAGTTTTAGGATAGTTGGATGAGGAAAAATCAAAGGATGAGACTAGAACCTTATTTTTTCCCCCAATGAATATCTTCTCATTTTCTACTGTTAATTATTGATTTTGATTTTCTCTCATCTAACGATCCTAAAAAGACGTAAAACTTTTTAATTTCACACTATGTTATTGGATCCTAACTCTATATATAAGATATTTTAAAATGTTTAAATATAATTTTCTAAACATGTAGTTTAAAAACAATATCTAGATACGTGTTTTTACTGTTGTTCGAATGATTCATGTGTACTTTAGACACGAACCATACATGTTTTTTCTTTTTGAATAAAATTAATATAATTTTCTATATTTTTAGCTAAAAAATTCATATATTCTCATTTCTTTCGTTTTGGCATGATAAACCTACTACACTGACAAAACCAAGCTATAAACATATTTTTTTTAAAACAGTTCTCACATTACACGTCTTTATAAAAGAAAAGTGTCATCTTGATAAATAATACTTTGGATGTCATTTCGATAAATAATGTTGAATTATTTTACATTTATATTATTTTTGAAGAAAAAAAAGATTTATTAGACATAACGTCTTATTGTAACGTATCATTAAAAAAAAGTAGTAAAAAGGCAAATGAGGATGTTATAAAACTACAATACATAGTACAAAACAAACTAATATTTATACATGGACTCGACGACATACCTGAGATCTTACATCTGAACATATAACATAGATGAGATCTCACATATGAACATATAACATAGATGAGATCTCACATATGAACATATAACATAGATGAGATCTCATATATGAACATATAACATAGATGAGATCTCACATATGAACATATAACATAGATGAGATCTCACATCAGTAAATCCACTTTCCTCCAATTTAAAAATTATGAATAACTAACGTTCAATGTTGAGCCCTAGACTAATTAAAAAAATATGAAGAATTTGAACTTCATAATTCCCATAAAAGACTAGCCATTATTTTTGTTGGCGTCTAAATTATACTACATTTGCAATCTTTTCAAATTAGACACACAGATTCAATCTTAAACATCGATCGAGTTCAGTTCATTTGGAACTTATGTTGATCAAATTTTTGGAGCTTCACAACCGAACTAAATTAACAAAGAAACGATACCTTAAAGCTTCATATCCATATGATGAACAATAATCCAAATCCATGTATTTTAATATAATATACTACAGAAACCATGGACCTTAAAAAGAGGTTTCTACTCTGATATTGACAACTTACAGCTCACGAATATAAGTTAAACGCTCTGTAGGTTAAGGTTATCCATATCAGAAGGTGCAGCTGCAGGGCTTCAGCTTAAGTGTGCGAGTCCTATACAAAATCTAAATCATATTGTAATATATAAATGTTAACTTAAGATTATCTCAAGACAGAGAAGAAAACGATGGGGGAGGGCATATTGTGGGATTCAAACATATTTCTCCACTCGTGGTAAGAGAGGATAATTTACTGCCTGGATTTCAGCAGGACGCTCACAGTACTTGAAATGTCTGTCAGCTGTTGCTTAGTTTTAGCTTTCCACTTCATCAAATCCTTCAACATTTCCTGTCAAAAGAGGGGATTTCAAATTGGCCCTTCAATGCAGAGCTTAGTATACACACTCACATCACATGCAAATCCATAGATGGTTTGAACACAAGCAGGACTATAATGATTTACATATATCTGTCTGCACACATATATCCATTGGATATGTGATGTTTTATGCGTCTTAATTTAAAAAGAAAAAGACCTTTGTTTGACATCACCTGAATCAGAAGCAACGAATTATCGTGATCCGTCTTTGAATTGGAAGTCACAGATGAATCAGGTGTCACATTAGCTTGATCTTCCCCTTGCCTCCTAGGTGCTCCTAGCTCCTGCACAGTGCTGTTTATAAAAAAAAAAGAGCAGCACCAACGTTAAGCACAATAATATTGTCTCTAATTTGGTCACGAAGGTCTTGTTACCTCATTATTTTATCCATTTCTTCGTTAATCATATCCAGATCTTGAGCACAAACGGGGTCTTCAAAGGGGCTATGACCAGGTTGTTGCCATGCTACTGGGTTCAGATCCGAATCTTGAACTACATCCTGTGCAAAATTAATCAGCTCTTGATTGTCTAACCAGGGTCCCAAGTTACCCCCTCGAAAATTGTCCAGGTTGGTGCTCTCAAACCAATCTTCCCATCTTTCAGAAGTTGTAGGACTAAAGAGATTGCATTGCTTTGATTCCTGCAGACTGCTCAATGAATTTGAAATTTCCAGTATCTGCTGCTCAACTCTAGCTTTCCATGCCATTAGTTCTTTGCACATGTTCTGCTCGCAAAAAGGCAAAATCTGAGAGCTCTATTCACTTACATGGTAATTTCAGATATAAGCACGACAAAAATTAGTCTTGTAACAAAGACAAGTTCTAAAAACTTTAAGAAAAATACCTTCTACCTTATATTTAGCATACATCAGATTGTGAGGAAGTTATTGATTGAGAACAGGGTATTGTTACCTTACCTGCGTAGCATTTAATGAACTTGTAAACTCCATCAGGCGTCCATCTGTCTTCGCTTTCCATTTCACCATTTCTTTCTGCATCTCCTGTAAAACAAGAATTCAAGACCAGCAGCTTATCTTACTGGTACAGTTAATTTCACTCCAAACTATTTTCACATTCACCTCAATTGAATTAGTTTGATCTCGCTCTTGCTGCTCGTAAACAAGCTCCTGCAAATCCCTATTTACAAAGAATATAGGGTACTTGAGATGACAAAAACAAGACCGTCGATAACTTCATTTTAAAACCAATACTTATTTTTCGCACCTCTTCATTTTTGCCATTTCTTCCTTAAGCAGTTTCAGTTCTATAGCACTAGCAGAAGCATGAAAGGGAGCCTCGTCAGGTTTCTGCCAAAATTGGGAAATCCCAGCCTCCTTTCGCTTGTTGGCCAGGTCAGCACTCTCTAGCCAATACTCCATCACTCCACTAGTGTTGTAACAACGGCGAAACCTATCAGTACCTCCAGGTGCTACCTTACCATCAATGTGCTTCAGCAGATGGTCCAAGAGTCCAGTATCACCAATCAGTTTACGGGCTGCCATTCTAAGAGCAGGCCGAGATATTGGATGCTCATACACAGCTCCTTCAGCCTTCATGATCTCTAACATGCTTTCTTCAGCCAGATTATACCTTCAATAATTGTATGAAATATAAGAAAATTTTAGCATTAACAGAAGGGGAGAAAATTAACCGGGGGGAACCAAAGTTTTCACCTTTCAACAGACCATCTATCTATAAAATTTTTATGTTTGTTTTGCTTGCCCTTGTTGGGACCATTACTTGGGCTTTGTTTCCCACATCTTGCAGCCTTTTCTTTTCTTAGTTGGCTGGAGGAAAGGTGCCTTCTCTTCCGTAGTTCAGGGCAAGAAATCAACATTGTTTTCACATGTTTTTTATCATCTTCATCATATTCTTCCTCGATTTCACCAGGTAACTGTTTGGCAGGGCAATCTTCTTCAGTGCCGAAGAATTTAACTTGCCGGAAGACACCCCACTCTGCCATCCTAAACTACTACAGTTCAAACCAACAAAACCCTTTCTTAGATCTTTAAGCTACCCCAGACAACTTCTAAACAGTTCAGAATCACCAATATTCACAATTACAAACTCTAAGAAATTTGACTAATGCAAACAACACTTTTCATATACATGAACAGCCACATAGAAGAAGACCTACATAAAGTCTAAAAATAAATATCCCAGTTGCAAAATGCACCAGGGAAATTTTTACTGACTTCACCAGTTTTTATTTCCTCCTCAGCTACATCATATCAAGAGGAGTTCGTTCCGTTTTCAGTTTAAAGTATATTGCAAATTGATCTCATTTATTTTAACCCGTCATGAGAATCCATTTTATAATCTCAAATAACTACCATAATTCCATCATGATCAATACAAGTAACACAGTGTTCATTTTCAACAGGTGCTCCATCTACATCCAATCCACCCCAAACCTCAAGCCAAGGGTGAAGATAAGTAGAACCAAATTTATAAATGTCACATAATTAGCCTCGGCATAACAAATAACACGAGTCCTTGACTCAAGACACCTCTTCCTGTGGAAGCGGTCAACTAATGAGGGCTACTATACAGTATTACTAGCAGGTTCAAAATCAGCCAACTATTCCTACTTCCATTAGCAATTCCCTAACTCTAGTCTCCACAATCTCAGCCACGTATTTATTTTATTTTTATAAGTAATTACATTCAAAGATCTGCTAAGCCTGACCCCACTGTCCACTATAAGTTATTTGACCATCCTATGGTGCTTTCCAATTAATCAACAGGTTTCTAGAATCTAAAGTTACCTTCTTCACTGAAAGCGTAAAACAAAATCAAAATCAAGGGTTTGACTAAGTAAGAGTCTAAAAGCACAGTTGCTTTACAAATGGCTTATGGGGAAAGGATCAAACTTATACCCTAAGTTCCCCAGAGAGAAATGAAAAAAAATAACCCACTAAAACATCAAACTTCCGTTCCTAATTTCCTTCATTTACTTATTTTTTTCATGGCAACCAAGCAGAGCAGTGTATGAAACAATTTAATATTAGAGGGGAACAAAAGAAAAACATAGGCACATGAACTATCAGAAACAAGAAATTACGGCGGCGGCGGAAAAAACGGTTTACCTTGAACAATAATTAGAGGAAAGCACCAACATTCAATCCATTCTAAAACCCTAACTTCGTTTAAGGAGAATAAATGTTAAATAAAATTAAGGAAGGAAGAGAAAATAATACCCTTGTGATTTTGGTATCAGTTGACAGAGAAATCTTTTCAGAAATACCAATAAGAAAGGAAGGTAAAACAGAAAGGCTGAACAGTCTCAGATTTACATTTTAGCCGAAAATTTCTGCTGCCGAATATATTCGTCCTACTAAAAGTCTAAAACCCTAACCGCCCAAATTCCCAAAACCCCTTTTCTATTTATTTTAAAAATTACTTTTTTTTCCTGTAAAAAAATTACCTTTTTCATTTTTCAAAATAACATTTTTTACTAAATGGAATTGTCACGAATCTATAATTTAAAAAAGAGAAAATAATTTCAGTGACTAAAAAACCTAGATAATATACGATTTTAACTAATTTTTTTTGGATTTGCGAAAATGACCAACAAAATCGTAATGCGATCTCTAATTCGCATTGCGATCTCCACTATCGCAAATTCGCGTTGCATTTCGCGTTGCGATAGTTGAAAATCGCGTTGCGATTTTTCATTTCGCGTTGCGATAGTTGAAAATCGCGTTGCGATTTTTCATTTCGCGTTGCGATAGTCTACAATGTCGTTGCGATTTTCCAAATTCGTTGCGATAGTCTACAGTTGTCGTTGCGATTTTCCAAATTCGTTGCGATAGTAAAAAAAAAGATTTTGTTTCTTAAGAATTTTCTCTAAAAAGATAGTATCCGCGCGGACGTGTCGAAGACACGTATTACCATTACCATTACCATTACCACGACCACGACCACGACCACGACCACGACCACGACCACGACCACGACCCGACCCGACCCGACCCGAGACGAGACGGACGGCGGCGGCAGCGCGCGAGAGTCCCCCTTGTTCTCTATCACTCAACAAGGAAGTGAGAAAGCCAAGCCTTAAATACCATTCCCAATAGTATTTCCAATACTATGTGGGATTTGAGCATTACCAACACTTGTTCCCAATACTATGTGGGATTGAGCCTTAAATAGTGATATTATTTTTGAATGTTTTGCTTAAAATTGCAATAATCGCGATTGATTGTAGATTGACTTTTAATTATGACATATTTAATCGTATAATACTAATGCAATTAGTTGCTGATTCAGTTGTTTTAAGGTGCATGATTGTTAATTGTTTCCTGAATAATCACATTGGATTGGAAACAAGTGTTGGTAATGCTCAATCCCACATAGTATTGGAAACACTATTGAGAATGGTATTTAAGGCTTGGCTTTCCCACTTCCTTGTTGAGTGATAGAGAACAAGGGGGACTCTCGCGCGCCGCCGCCGCCGTCCGTCTCGTCTCGTCTCGTCTCGTCTCGTCTCGTGGTCGTGGTCGTGGTCGTGGTCGTGGTCGTGGTCGTGGTCGTGGTCGTGGTCGTGGTCGTGGTCGTGGTCGTGGTCGTGGTCGTGGTCGTGGTCGTGGTCGTGGTCGTGGTCGTGGTCGTGGTAATACGTGTCTTCGACACGTCCGCGCGGATACTATCTTTTTAGAGAAAATTCTTAAGAAACAAAATCTTTTTTTTTAACTATCGCAACGAATTTTCGCAACGAATTTAGAAAATAGCAACGACAACTGTAGACAACTGTAGACTATCGCAACGCGAACTGGAAACACGCGATTTTCAACTATCGCAACGCGATACGGAAAATCGCAACGCGAAATGCAACGCGAATTTGCGATAGTGGATATCACAATGCGAATTAGAGATCGCATTGCGATTTTGTTGGTCATTTTCGCAAATCCAAAAAAAATTGATCAAAATCGTATATTATTTGGGATTTTTGGTCACTGAGGTTATTTTCTCTTTAAAAAAATTAAATTAATTACACGAACCGAACGACTTTGGTGATAAAAGAATTGTTATTATTCCTTAATACTTCGAGTTCGAGCACTATAAATGCTAAGAGTATGAGCGTTCAATGTAATTTGATTGATAGTTATATTTAAACAGATACTAAATTGTTCTTATTCCATATTAATAAAAAATTAAATTAATTAAATAATATAAAATTACAAACCCAGCTCCTAAATATAATGTTAATCGGCTTCATATTAATAAAAAATTAAATAATTTATTAATGATTAATTAAATAAATATAATTATATGTATAATGTTAAAACTATTATAGATTGATATGATATATATGTGTTGTATAAACTTATTTTTTAAACTTTTCAATTATAAAAATTCCAACTTCCACATATCAGTAATTGAATTTAAAAAATTATTATAATTAAAATTTTGAAAATAGAAAATTTTCATCAATACATAATACGATTATATATAAAACCATTGTAAAGCTATTAAATAGTGATTAAAAAAGTGTACACAAAAGGTTTAATAATTTGCACCTTTTTCACAATGGTCCAACATGTTTTTTCATCGTCCATGTTATGCCCGTCAAATGTGCAGGTCAGGTTAGCCGTTAGCCTCGAGTTGGGTTAATTTTGATTTTGAATTGAAGTCATTTTCAGTCTAAATTATTTTAGATCAGGCTCATTTTATAATTATTTAATTAATAATAAAATATTACTTTTATACAAAATAATTTTAAATTGATTTTTTATATTTTTCATCCATATCAATTTAAGGACTATTACTCTTTCTCCTCATATTTTAATTTTTAACTAATATTATTGTGTCAATTTTAGGCACTTAAATTAAAAAAAAAACTAATGTATTTTAAGTATTTATTTTGATAAAAAATATTTTAAGTATTCAGATGAAAAAATAAATACTTTAATTAAAAATATTTTAAATATATTCCAATCATGAATTTCATTGATATATTCTTTCCCTGCAAAAATTGCTATCGAGTTATGAGCAACTCATATGAACTTTACTTTTTTCACATTTAATTTTATTAGACTTTGATTTGGTCCAAGTCACCTTCAAATTTTCAATTTCGTCGTCGAATTTGCTTCCGTCGAAAGTTACCTTTCCTTCCGTTTCATTAACTATATAACTGTCCTACGCAAAACCCAGGACTGATCTTCTGTACCCAACGCTTACAACCATGTATCTGGGTTTTGCAGAGTGCATTCGAGAATGGATGTAAACTAACAAGCACAATGGATTCAGACTTCTAACCTGTTGCATCGAAGTTGCATACGAGACCTGTCGGTCTGCAGTTGTTCCTTCAGGTTATATGTCAATGCAAACTAAACCCAAAGCATTAATGGATCTGTTGACAGTCTAGTTGAGATGCATACAATAATGCGTGCGCAACAGCAAACGAAAACCATCGATAGGAAAACAGCTAGTGGAGATGTTCAAGGTCCCGTGGTGCCGATCAAATTCTAGGTGGAATGCTAAAAGACGGTTTCAGACAACTAAATACAAGGCACTGAATATCAGAACAGGAGAGGCAAGAAACATGATATGAAATTCAGCTGGTCTCTTATTATGCATGTGCAATACATATTTATGAAAATATACCATTCATTGTAGTAAAAGGAATTATGGAGGATGACAGTTCGGGCAGAAATGTCCTTCACATTTTACTTTGAACAGAGAGGTACTTAGTATGGCGCCCCTGTGCGATAATTTTCCCATTCTTTTTCTTCCGAATCTCAACAGTGATGACGGCAACAGTCTTCCCAACACGCAATGCCTTAGCCTCTATCTCAATTTCCTCCTGCATGAGCAACAATATGCACATTAATAAAAAGGCATAATGCCAAAAATATCACCCAACATTTACCAAAATAATCATTTTGGCCCATTTTTTTTTGGAGCATTTTGGCCCACAACGTTTCACTTTAGGACTCTCTCTATAGATGAAAAATATTAGTTAACACACAATTAATGCTCCAAAATAGGAGACTTTTTTAACCTAAAATGAAATGTCTAAAACGCCTAAAAAAAAGGACTAAGTGATTATTCTGTCAAATGTTAAGGACCTTTTAGCCCTAAGGTGATTATTAGTTAACACACAATTGAACCCTCATTTATCCTAGTTTTTTACTCATGGATCACAAATTCAACTGAAACCCCATCATCAGATACTAGATAGCCATACAGAAAGGACAAAACCAACACTTTAATATCACAAAAGTTGTAAACTTGCATAACTAAACTAAAATGATGAAAAGAGATTTTGAGTTGAAACTCCGGCAAATAATCAAGCAATCTAACCGATCAATGCAAATTCCAAACCAAAAGATTTCTTATTCAAAGCACTTCGAAATGAAGTTCAGACCATGTTTCATGCATGTTAACCATCAAATATCATCGGAGTAAGGCTATCGTAGTCAGACATTGAAGGTAAGGCTATCGTAGTCGCCTAGTCGGACAATAATTAATGGGAAAAAGGTGAACAAACAGATGGACTTATTTATTTTGTCATTAATGAAATTGAACAAGATTGTACCTGGATTTCAATCTGATAGATTTCAGATGCATTTTACTAAAAAAACGAGACAGACAAAAGAAAATTGTTTCTGAAAAGAAGGAATAGTATTGAGAGGGAGCTTCATTTTGGCCTAAAACTACCTACTATCTGGTAGCCAAATTGGTTCCGATTCTAGCCAGGTCAATAGGCTCCTAGCTCCTATTATCTCTGTTCACAATACTCAGAAACCAAGATTTTAGTGAAGGAGGACCTACTACCACTCAGCTCAATAGGCGTTGGACTCGGAGAGAAATTGTAGTTAACTAAACATACCCCATGGTCATGATCTAAAGAAGTTTTCAGGTATTAACAAGCTCTAAGCTGTCTAAACTAATATTCATTCAATAGACTTGTTGATGGGAAGTCGTTGTCGGTTCACCCTTCTGGTTTTAGATTCCTATCTTAGTCTTGACGACTACTCATAAGTTGGCAAAGCTAATAGATATTGTCATCTGACCGTAGATTTGACTCTGGTAGGTCAATATGGGCATCAGGAGGTCGCGACTTCCACTGTGAGATCATACCTCCAGAGGTGTTCTTCCGGGCTTCCACTGCGGGGACGGATCTTGCGGGGAGGTTCGGAAAGGGTCTAACAAGACTTATTCTAAGATTCCTATTATCAGAACTCGTAGAGAGATGATGAATCAGTTTCCTAAATTTCTTTCAAGGAAATTCAAAAGATTCAAATTAAAAGATCAAGTCAAGCAATTAGGCAAGATTAGCAAATCCAGGAAAATTTTGGATAAAAAAAGATGAAAAGTAGGAGAAAGTCACTAACACCAACAAAAGCAGCATCCAAGTAAGTAATACTGATTTCAACAGAAACTCCACTCGAACTGGCTCCGTAGGTGTAAACAACCGCAGATCCGACCAAATCCACCAGCGATGCAGTGGCTCCACCGTGCAAGAAATTACCCGCGTTCTTTTTGCACGATTCAAAGCATCAACCCAAAAAAAAACACCCAGATTAGAAAAAAAAACAGCAATAATCAATAAAAGTACCGATTAAGAGCAACAAAATCAAATTTGTACCAGTGATTTGAAATTGAGAGAACAGAACATACCAGCAATCGAGGAGGAACTTTCATGGAGCAAAGAACTCGACCCTTTTCGATGTGGTCAACATGGAGACCTTGCCTGATGAAGTTCTCGAAGAACTTGGAAGGCATGCCATTGATGGTTGAGGCGTTCTTGTCTTCCCCTTCGCCAACTCCTTTCTCCAAGTATTTCTTTACGGTTTCCAAATCCATCGGAAAATTTGTGGAAAAATGACAATACAGATTAATCTATTTATCGGGCTAAATTGACACCGTTTTTTTTTTATTTTACCTTTCTGACAACGTTTGATCAATATTTTCAGAAGTAACACACTTTCTGTTGAGTTGGCAAAGGCGCGTCCCCGGGGACGCGCTTTATCCGTGTTTCGCTGAGTTGGATGCCACGTGTGGACGCGCCTTTGCCATATCAGCAGACACGTGTGGAAAGCGCATCCACGGGGACGCGCCTTCCATTAAATGTCATAAATGCCCCCATCCGTTTTTCTTAACTACCCCTCCTCCTCCCCTATATAAACCCCCTCAACCCTCCCTCATTCTTCACACCAAAATCATATTCCATCTCTATATAACTCAAATTCTCCAACTATTTGAGTTTTAAATTTGTTATTAGTGGTAAGAAATTTTTTTTATGTTAGTATTTTTTAAATAGTTATTATTTTTTATATTATATTTATGTAAATATTATTTTTTTATTAAAATAATATTTATATAATTATTATTTATTTAGAATTATTAATTTTTTTTGCTAATTATATTGTTTGTCTACAGTTATATGGAAAACGAAATCTGTTGCGATTGGATATTGATCTATCTCCAGACATTTTAGCGATATGGTAATATTTTTTATAATTAATGTTAATATTTAAATTTATTTTTATTTTAAATTTATTATGAATTTATATTAATTTTTATTTTTTATAATGTATATTATTTAGGATGCTGATCGTATTTTAGAGACTTTTATTAAAAATCCACATATACCGACACCGGAACGTATTTTGCCATATTTGGCTTCTTTCGGGTTCGGGTATATTGCAACAATTATAGGCGGTTGCAAACTCGAACCTGTCCTAATTTCTGCACTGATTGAGAGGTGGAGGCCCGAGACACACACTTTTCACCTTCCATGTGGAGAGGCGACAATTACATGGAGGATGTCTCTATGCATCTGGGGCTTCCCGTCGACGGAAATATGATGTGTGGTATGGCGGATGGTGATTGGCAATCAATGTGCATTGATTATCTTGGAGCTGCTCCGCCAGAGTTTAATGGAGGTAGAATAGATTTATCTTGGTTGAAAGCTAATTTTGAGGTTTTAAATGAAAATGCTTCAAAGGATCAAGCAAAGGCATGTGCTCGGGCATATATTCTACGAATAATTGGAGGAATATTGATGCCCGACAATCTCGCAACCAGGTGCATTGTATGTGGTTGCGACATCTGATCGATTTTGATGAAGCTGAAGATATAGTTGGGGTGCTGCAGTTTTGGCATTTCTCTTTAGAGAAATGTGTCGGGCGACCAATTATAAGAAACTGCTATCGGGATGTCTTCTGCTTCTACAATCATGGGCGTGGTTCCGCATGCCTTTCTTATGCCCGATCGTGAATGAACCATACGTATTCCCCTTATTGAGGTAATTTCGACTAAATTTTGATTTAAATATTTTCAATTAAATAGGGTGATATTTAGTTTATATTATATTTCATAGGTGGTCGATGAAAAAAAAGGACCATAAAAGTATACCTACTGGTTAGAGAAATTCGTTTACTTATTGATACGAAAGCTGGGTCTGAGGTATGTTTTTAAATTTGTTTAATTATTAATATTTAATTTAAAATTTAGATATAATTAGAATATTTTATTTATTTGAATTGTATATTTATATTTCAGTTTCAGTGGATACCTTATGCGAGCGATGAAGTGAAAGCTTGCATCCCACCCTACCTTAGTGGTCATTAGAGGTATGGATATCGGTTATACCTCTTATATGTTATGCTATTATTGAGTGGCATCCATTGATCGCGTGCTCCGTCAGTATGGTTGTACGCAATATATTTCCTAGAGCTCCTAGGAATTTAGACGAGTGCATAACATAGATAGACGAGGAAAGAAATATGTTAATTGGGTGTGGAGACACCTTTGCCTTTGGGAGAACCGATACACTGTTGGCCCCTCGAATATTACGCTGAAACTGGTCATATGGTTACGGATAACTATATGACTGGTTTAATGAAAATGGGAAGCCGTTTCTACTTTCGGCGGAAGCACGAGGGGTTAACATTCCTAGGCGCCGAGAAAGACGTCAACCGTCTCAATATCATCGTCTCCCGACGCGTGGACGGAGAGAAGGCGCTACCGGTTCTGCATCAGTCCCACCACAACATCCTTATTCGTCGATGCCGCAGGGGTACATGCCCAGCCCTCCACTTCATATGTCAAGCCCACCAGTTTATGCCATCTCCACAGGGTTACATTCCGAGCCCGCAGGGTTACATTCCTACCCGCCATGTTACATGCCTAGCCCGCCAGGTTACATGCCTAGCCCGCAGGGTTTTATACCATATGGAGTGCATATACGACTATGTTTAATGATCCATCATATGGTTCATATGCATTTTATTTGCCTGGTGGTGCTTCTCTCGGACACCTCAATCTCCATCTGGATCACATACATCGATGCCAATGTTTCCACATTCTCACAGTTCCCGGGAGCGGTGGGATTGTTACTAGCACTCCTCCAGGGTCGTTATTTTATACAGGCCCTTCAGCCCCTTCAGCGTCATCTACACCAAATGAAGAAAATGCTGCTGATGATGATAGTGAAGATGAGGAGACTGAAGAACAAGTTCCACGAAGAATCCTCCACGAAATAGACAACCACCGCCATGTGGAACTCATTCGAGAAGACGACATCGGTGATCCATTATATTTAATGTTATTTAAATAATATATTTCAGAATTTTATGTAATTTGGTTATGTTATTTAAATGTTTCGTGGTTGTTACATACATATTTTTTAATGTTATTTTTTATTCACATTTAACATTAAATGTTTGATAAATGTTTTTAAAATACAAATTATATTATTCGAAATTTAAATAAAAATAAAAATAATATTATTCAAATTTAAATTTAAAATATAATTATAGTATTCGAAATTTAACATTAAATTTCAACTTAATATTCCAAATATATTCGAAATTAAAAGTTATATTCCAATTATAGTTCACAATACTTAAATTGAAATTAAATTTATCCATACATATGATTTATCATTAACATATATATTAAAACGTATACATTAAAATCAACTTATGTTGAATTCATCGATCGACGGAATCTGCCAAGAGGGGGTGAATTGGCAATTTATTCAATGTCACAATCAACTTATCACTTCACATTTATTCACTTTATCCATAACATTTTATCTAATTTATTCAAACTTCACATAACGTTTTAATTTAAGTTATTCTTAACTTGCTGAACTTTCAAAAGAAGTTAAATTTTGGTTATAATTTACCTTATTTACTGATATCTAGTGTCCCCGAGGGACATGAGTGACATAATAGGCAATGATAACATATTCTCTGACGAAATAATGGAAGGCGTCCCCGGGAACGCGTCTTCATGTGAATAGTGAAATAATAGGTACTGATATATCTAGTGTCCCCGAGGGACATGAGTGACATAATAGGGCAATGATAACATATTCTCTGACGAAATAATGGAAGCGCCCCCGGGAACGCGCCTTCATGTGAATAGTGAAATAATAGTACTGATATATCTAGTGTCCCCGAGGGACATGAGTGACATAATAGGGCAATGATAACATATTCTCTGACGAAATAATGGAAGGCGCGCCCCCGGGAACGCGCCTTCATGTGAATAGTGAAATAATAGGTACTGATATATCTAGTGTCCCCGAGGGACATGAGTGACATAATAGGGCAATGATAACATATTCTCTGACGAAATAATGGAAGGCGCGCCCCCGGGAACGCGCCTTCATGTGAATGTACTCCGATTATAGACACTATTATATGCAACGTATTATAAACTTTCAAAACAAACTTCAGTTCACAATCTTTCAAATTCTCAAATTCCCAAACTCTAAATTCTCAAATTCTCTGAAAATGAGTCGTCTTTCTGCTGTTGTTTTGTATGATGGAGAAATTAAGGAAGCTGAAGAGGGGGTTGTTTTTGAGTCAGATCATTATATCCCTTTAACCTTGAAGAGAAACATCACAATTGAGGAGTTAATCACAAAAATTTCGTTAAAGATTCGTGTAGCAGGCCAGAGAAGACTATCTTCACTTCAGTACAGATTTCCTACTGAACTTTTTCCGCTCACGTATACATCATTTCAGCTTTCAAACGATGATGATGTTTCTATGATGGTTGATGCTCATATGGGGAGTTCACAATCTCTTATTGAAATGTATGCCACTTTTATTGAGGTTCGTGTAACTCGTGGTCTCTCATATTCCTCTCACTTTGGCATTGCATATCAAACTGATCAAGTTGATAGCCCGATACAACTTATATGTAATGATTTCACATCATTAATGGTGGATCCAACGCCATATACCATGCCATCAAGTTCAAGAGGAAGGCATTCATCTGCAACTGCTTATAATCTCAACCCACGTGGCTTC